CAAACATCATCTTCTCTGAGATGCCTTCCTTGATCACCCTGTCCAAACCAGCTCCTTCCCAGTAATCCCATCATGGCATCCTCTGTACCAAGAGTCAGCATACTTTTTCTGTGAAGGGTTAGATAGTAAATATTTTCACGTGGCTGTATAATCTGTCACAACTACTCAATTCTACTGTTGTAGCTTGGAAGCAGCCATAGACAATATGTAACCAAATGGGCGTGGCTGTGCTCCAATGAAAGTTTACTTATTTGGATTTCATATAATTCTCTGTGTCATGTCTCTAAGTTTTGGTGATGATATGAAATGTAAAAACAGTTGTTAGTCACCGTTGAGTAGACCCCCAACTCATGGTGACCCTGTGTGTGACAGAGTAGAACTGCTCCATAGGGTTTTCTTGGCTGTAATCTTTATGGAAGCAGATCACCAGGCCTTTCTTCCATGGAGCCACTGGCTGGGTTCAAACCACAAACCTTTAGATTAGCAGCCCATCACATACATCTTAGGCCACCCAGGCTGTAGGCCACACACAAACAGGATTTGGTTCATGAGCTATAGTTTGCCAATCAGTGCTTGTATCATTATCCTGTTGTGTTTTCATCTTATTGCTATCTGGAAACTGTTTGTTGTCTCTCTCTCCTGGTAGACTGTAAGCTCCTTGAAGATAGGTTCTTTGTCTTATTCATTGCATTATCTCTATCATCTACAACAGTGCCTGGATATTTGGTGATTGAATGAATAAATCTATAGAATCCATGACTCACGAAGTCTAATAAAGACTTCTTTCCAAATAACTTTCATATATGTCCTATTCCAGGTGCTACACCCTATCCAGGTCTTTGCTTCTACCTGTTTCCCACCTGCTTTTCCAACCTTACCTCTATGCTTTTCCTGGAATGAGCCCTCTGCTCTAGCAGCCTCATCTCCTTGTTATCCCTGAACCACTGCTTGTTCTCACTTCGGCACTTTTGCGCAGGTTGTGCCCCACAACCAGTTGGCATCCCCTTAGGAAGGGATTGAACCCCTCTGTCATATGAGGTGGAATCCCTGGGTGGTGCAAACAGTTAATACACTTGGCTGCTACCCAAAAGTTCAGAGGTTCAAGTCCACCCAGAGGCATCTTGGAAGAAAGGCCTGGATAGCTACTTCCAAAAAACCATCCATGGAAAACCCTGTGGAGCACAGTTCTACTCTGACACACATGGGGTCACCATGAGTCTGAATAGACTCAACAGCAACTGGTTTTTATACTGTAATATGAGGTGAGTCTGCAATGGATGATGGGAAACCAAGGAAGAGTGGTGCTGGGCCTGGGCAGAGCTGCATGATGAAAAGCTCCAGTGTTAATAAAGTGAGTCAAGAAGAATTTAATTACTCTGGGGGAACAATGAAAAGTGCTGCTTGCCAGGGTTGTCTCGACCAGTGTTTTTCAAAAACTGGGGAACCTTCTTAAAATGCAGATTGTGGCAGTAGATCTGAGATAAGGCATGAAATTCTGTATATCTGACAAGCTCTCAGGTAATGCCAGGACTTGGGGCCTTAGGCCCATTCTCTGAGTAGCAAAGATCTAGCTAAATGCTTAGAAAAGGAGCCTTGTCCATGTGGCTTAGATACAGGAGAAGGGAGGTAGTTGGCTGGCCCCTCAGAGGCCTGCCTATATATCATGTTAACCCCCTGAGATTCTTAGACTACACTGAAGATATTTCTTGCATTCTGAATGACTGAACAAATGTGTGATGATTCACACCTTCTTGATGAAGGAGAGGATGCTGAAGAGAACCGAGGGTGAAATTGAATATGTAAGATTGCAGCTTACAGGGAAGAAGTCCAGAGATGGTGGCAGTGAAAGTGGCCATTGGGAAAATTAAATGAGTCTAGTGTTGATTGGATAGGAGCTCTGGTAGCATAGTGCCTAAGGCACTTGACTGCTAACCAGAAGGCTGGCGGTTCAAACCCACCAGCCACTCCTCAGAAGAAAGGTTGGGCAATCCTACTTCTGTAGTGATATTGCCTCGGAAACCCAAGGAGGGGTTGCTATGAGTCAGGGCCGATTCGACGGCACATAACAACAACAACAACGGTGTTGATTGGGCTGTTGGCCTGTTCTGTTCTCTGTTGTTTCACTCTCACACACACATGCAGAGTGTAAGCTAGAAGACACAGTACATTTTCCTGGTGTTATTGGACTCTCTCTTCTCTCCAATGGGGGCACTTCTTCTGATCCTGTATAATATATGGCTCAGGATCTATGTTTACCTTGGGTACAAGTAATGTTACTTCACCTTAACAAAACAATAGGAGTCATTTCTGTAGCATGTGTCTCCAAATAGAACAGATAAGAAAGTATTTTGCTAGCATACTAAGGTTCCCTGTTCTAACAATTTTTAACAGTTATTAACCTGTTTCTTGTATCTGGCTAATAAATAGCTGACCTCTTCATGAAGATGAGTATCACTTCCTCATGGTTTAACTTTGTATAAACTTATAGATTATCTTGATTAATGATTTTAATGCTATTTCCCTTATCACTGTAATTTCCCCCTCTCTGCTTTTATCACAGAGGAACGTCTGCTTGGGTGAGCTGAACTCTGATCTTGACATAGAGTCATGGCCATGGTAAGTTGTGGGGTGCCTTGTCCTACCTGGTGCCAGCCCAAGACAGGTACAGGATGTGTACTCAAGGACTGTGGGTTTAAACAAAGGTTTGTTTGCTCAACAGGGGGAGAGGGAGGAAATGAAAAGACAGGTTGTTTCTGTTTTTCTCTTTTTAAAATATCATTTTATATTCTTTGAGGAGTGGTGAGTAACTTGATCCTGAAAAAAAGGGAGAATCCTTTGAATCCTTCGGGTCGCTATGAGTCAGGTCCGACTCGACGGCGCATAACAACAACAACAACATCTTGAGAATGTTAGAAACAAGTTACAGTTTTCTCTCTGCAAGAAGCACTACATGTTCACTGTAGAAAATTTAGGTAAATTTAAAAAGTAAAAATTCCACAGATTGTACCACAAGGAGGTGACAACTGTGGACATTTTGGTGTAACTCTGTAGCTTCAGGCTCATTAAGAAGGGTATTTCTTAGCCATCAGGGCTTGTCACTTGCCTCCTGCTCTCACTGGCTGTGATCCGTGGAGCTTGGTTATCTGATCTGGGACAGGCAGGGAATCCGATCCGTTTGAGATTACTGTAAAATTCAGTGCTGAAGTGGAGCTGAGTTCCTTCCCTGCACATACGGCTCTGCTTGGTGCCAGCCATCTGCTCTCCTTCTCCTAGGCAGGTGATTCTGATCCCTGGTATTCCGGGAAGGAATAATAGTAGGTATAATCTTACACCTGAAGAGGAACTGAAAATCCCACTAGCTGTAACCACCTGCCTTTAGGAAGGTGGTTGTATAAAGTAAACTATCTTAGGCAAATGGTTATATTTTCTTTTGAAAAAATTAAATTGGATATTCTATAGTTTTCTTCATCAACCCTGACAAAGACATAATCATGTCTGCCCAAAATTTCTCATGCTGTCATTTAAATTCTGTTTCTTCTTGATTGAGTCTCCCTGGGGACATGGAGAATATGTATTCAGAAATGCTTATGGTCCCTGCTTTGTGCCAGATGTAGGCTGGGGGATTCAAAGATTAATGGGTTACCCTTTTTGTTTTCAAGAAGCTCGAAGTCTTATTACTTGTGAAGACTGTAACCAAGTAACCTGTAGGTGTGTTATCCACTCTAGGAAAAATATCTTGGTTGCTCCCTCTTTCCTCTTAGAATTTGTTTTTCCAACATGGCTGTTACTTATTAGACAGGTAGAAGACATTTTTAAAGGAAGCAAAAACCATGCAATACAGTTACCATAGTGTAATTCCCAACTATTTCGCATCACTTTATTTTAGACCCTATTCATATGTAGAATGATTTCCAAATTATATTATGAGCATAAATAACATTTTTGTCATCTATTTTTTCACTTAGTATAGGAAAATGCTTAAAATAGAATGATAAATGAAAGATTCAGAATACAAACGTATGTGTTTATACTGATCTTAGTTATGCTAACACGTATATATTAACTTTTATATCATATTACAATTTTTACTCTAGGTGGTAGATTTATGGATGTTTTTATTTTCATCTTCTTTTTTGTATTTTCTAAATTTTTTTACAACAAGCATATGATACATTTCTAAAACAAAAACATATTTTAAAAACCAAGTATGAAAAAATATTTTCTTTATGGAGGTGTAATTTACACATGGTGAAATGCACAGTTCTGGAGTCCACTGCTAGATGAGTTTTAACACGTGCATATACCTGTGTAACCTACTGTCCTATCAAGGTACAACATTTCTTCACTCCAGAAAGTTCACTTATGCCCCTTCCTGCCCACTCCCCACCAGCTCCCTTTTCCACTCTGAAATGCAACTACTGTTCTGATTGTTATCACCATAGGTTAGTTTTGTTCTGGTCTAGAATACACTATAAATGAAATCATACAATATGTACTTCTTTTGTATCTGGCTTCTTTTGCTAAGCATTATGATTTTAAAATTCATCTGTGATGCATTATGTTTGTTGCTTTGTCCCTTTTTGTTTTGATTAGTATTCCATTATATCAAAAATATCCTTCAAAACATTTTGATATAATGGAATAGTAATCAAAAACAAAGCAAAACAAAAAGGACAAAGGAGCAAGCATACAGCATCATAGATGAATTTTAAAATGATAATGCTTAGCAAAAGAAGCTAGATACAAAAGAAATACATATTGTATGTTTCCATTCATAGCGTATTCTAGTCCAGACAAAACTATTATATAGGAGCTCTGGTGGCGTCGCCGTTCCTAAGGCATTTGACTGCTAACCAGAAGGCTGGTGGTTCAAACCCACCAGCCATTCCTCGAAGGAAGGTTGGGCAATCTACTTCTATAGAGATACCGCCTCGGAAACCCAAGGAGGGGTCGTTATGAGTTGGATCTGACTGACAACAGTGAGTTTGCTTTTTTTTTTTTTTTTTTTGAGATTCCATTATATTGTATCCCAATATTTCTGATGTTTATCTCATCTTCATTATTATTCTAATGACTGAATAATATTTCACCAATTGTGATACAGCACCTCTTTCCAGTTATTATATTTTGTCATTCTTCCCTACATCCTTCTGTTTCCTGTGCTGCTCTCACAGATGCCCTTCTGGAATGGAGTCTTCTGCCTTCCCATCAGATAATGGCACAGGATGCCCTGGAATTCAATCAATACAGATACTTTAGGGCTAATAGAACAATTTTTTTTCCAGGAAAAGAGTCACTAAGAATGGTAATTGATAAACTCAGCTGCTCCTGCAAAGCTATCGATTTATCTTGTTAGGTATTAATTTTAATTTTATACTAGTGTCCGTAGGAGCTCTGGTAGCGTAGTGCCTAAGGCACTTGACTGCTAACCAGAAGGCTGGTGGTTCAAACCCACCAGCCACTCCTCGGAAGGAAGGTTGGGCAATCTACTTCCGTAGTGATACTGCCTGGGAAACCCAAGGAGGGGTCGCTATGAGTCGGGTCCGACTCGATGGCACATAACAACAACAACAACTAGTGTCCCTTAGCAATGCAATTTGCTTTAAAGCAAAATTCAGTGTTTGAGCACCACCCAAAAAAAAAGTTCAATACTTAAGTTGCAAAAGAACCTTGTGAAGCTGTTTGACTCAAGGAAGCTGTCTCATGTAACGCCAGTGGCTGAATTAAGCAATGTTGGAATTTGACACCAAATCACCAATTTGTGTAAGTTGGGAGAATAATATATAGTAAAAGAAAAGAAATAAAGTGCTGAAGAAAGTTGATGTCATAGATTTTTACTTTCTGTACACTGTCAGGTGTATAGAGGAGCTATATGACGACTGAGTGCTAGACACTGACCTTATCTAGTATAGGAAAGCCTAGGAGCTCTGGTAGTGTAGTGCCTAAGGCACTTGACTGCTAACCAGAAGGCTGGGGTTTCAAACCCACCAGCCACTCCTTGGAAGGAAGGTTGGGCAATCTACTTCCATAGTGATACCACCTCAGAAACTCAAGGAGGGGTCGCTATGAGTCAGGTCCAACTCCACGGCACATAGCAACAACAAGTCTTTCATCAGGCGAGGCCCACAACCTCTGGTACCTGAAGCCTTTGGATGAGCTTTTTGTAGGCCACAGTGGGCCTAGGAAGTTCAAGGCAAGCTGGAATAGCTCATAGAGCTCAAATCTGGCTGGTAGAAAATGACCCTAAACCAAAAAACCAAACTCACTGCCATTGAGTTGGATCCGACTCATAATGACCCCTCCTTGGGTTTCCAAGGCAGTCCTTCTACAGAAGTAGATTGCCCAGTCTTCCTTCCGAGGAGTGGGTGGTGGTTTGAACCACAGCCTTCTGGTTAGCAGTCAAGTGCCTTCGGTACTGGACCACCAGAGCACTTTTATTTGTTTTAAGTGGGCCAGATTACATTCTTAGATCAAATTAAATCATCAGAGAGCTTTAAATCTATATGACATTGTTTTTGACACCTTGTACAAATTGCCTGTTCTAGATTTTGCTTTGGCATTACCCCATAGGCTTACTTTGAGGGCCATTATAAGAAATAGACAATTTACTGTGGTGATGAAGTCACATTTAAGAATAATGACAGCCACCAAGTTTGAGTGTTGACTGTTTGCTGTGTTCTGTGCTAAATGAAATATATATGTATCCCAAACCCAACTAATTGCTGTTGAGTTGATTCTAACTCATGGAGAGCCGATGTTTTTACAGTAGAACTGTACTCCATAGGGAGTTTTCAGTGGCTGTGACCTCTTGACAGTAGAATCCCAGGCCTTTCTTCCAAGACACCTCTGGGTAGATTCGACTGCCCACCTTTCAGTTAGTAGCTGAACACTTAACCTTTTATGCCACCCAGGGACTATATATATACATATACATATATACACACACATATATACTTAACTTTAACTTAACTAACTTTATAGAGACACACACACACACGTGTGTGTTTATATGTGGTGGCACTGTGCCTATGGCATCTGACACCCAAAAGGTTGGTGATTCAAACCCACCAGCCCTCTGCAGAAGGAAGACTGGGCAATCTACTCTGTAAAGATTTACCGCCTTGGAAACCCAATGAGAGTCGCTATGAGTCAGAGACAACTTGATGGTTGCCAGTTTGGTTTGGGCTTATATGTATGTAATTCCTGCTTCATTATTACAATAACCCTGTAGGTTGTTACTGTTATTCCCAATAGTGTGAAATAGAAAAAGGAAAACTTCCCCCAGGCCATTCAGCTAGAGAAGATGGAAGTCAAGACCACACCAAGGTCTCTCTCACTCTAATGCTTGTGTTCCTTCCCACTCAATTATGCTGCTTCTCACAGTAGTCCATCATATCTTCATGAAGACCCACCTTTCTGATTGTCTTTTCTTTCTTAATTTTTATTATATCTGCATACAAAAGTAGACAGTATTATTACCAGGAACTTTATTTACCTATCGGTAATTATTAACTCATGGTCAATCATGTTCCTTCTTTATCTCTACTTAATTTGCTCCTTCTGGGTTAACTTAAAGCAAATTCCAGACAGCTTATCATTCATCTGTAATGTATTTTAATATTAAAGACAAAGACTGTTAGTAAAATAAAGATGTAGAGAAATTGGAACTCTCGTATGTTGCTGAGGGTAAAGTGGTACAGTCACTGTAGAAAACAGTTCAGTGTTTCCTCAGAAAGTTAAACATAGAATTGCCCTATGACCCAGCGGTTCTACTCCTCAGTATATACCCGAAATAATTGAAAACAAGTATTCAAACAGACATTTATACATGAATGCTTATATTAGCACTATTCACAATAGTCAGATGGTGGAAACAACCCAAATCTCCATCAACAGATACATGGATAAATAAGTGTGATATATGCATACAATGGAATATTATTTAGCCATAAAAAGGAAGAGAGTATGTGTACAATGCTACAACATAGATGAATCATGAATACATTATACTAAGTAAAAGAAGCCAGACCAAAAAAGGTCATATATTGTGTGATGCCATTTACAGTATATGTAACATTCAGAATAGGCAGATCCATGGAGACAGAAAGCAGACTAGTGGTTGTCAGGGGCTGAAGTAAGGGGAATGGGGAGTGACTCCTAACTGGTATGGGGTTTCCTTTTTGGGATGATGAAAAAGCCTTAGAACTAGGTAGATATGATAGTTGTGCAACATTGTCAATGTCATGAATACCACTGAATTGTAACACATTAACACTTTAAAATGGTTAATGGTTAATTTTATGTCACATGAATTTTACCTCAACTAAAAGATACATAATACCATTATCCCACCTAAAAAAGTTAATAATTTCTTAATATTATGAAATACTAAGTCAGTGTTAAAATTTCCAGTTGTCTGATAAATGTCATTTTTTTCCCCTTAAATTTAACTCTTTGATTCAGGATCAAAATAAAGTTCATGCATTGTGATTATTGATTTGCCTTTTAAATCTATTTTAATCTACAGTTTTGCTCCTTCCGTCCTTAGTGGTTGAAGAAACTAGATCATTTGTCCAGTGGTGTTTCTCATAGTCTGGCTTTTCTGATTATAGTCCTGTGATGTGGTTTAACCTTTTCCTCCCCCTTTTATTTCCTATTAATTGCTGTTTATCTACAGAGACTTGATCAAATTCAAGTTTGAGTTTTTCCTTTTATTTGGGAGACAAGATTGTTTAATAGGTGATACTGTAACTCCTCTTACACTCATTTCCTTGGCCACCACACTTGAGCCCACTGACTTGCAGTTGTGCTCCTCCTACAGAAGCTAGTTCCAGCCTCAGGGCCTTTGCCATAGCTGTTTCCTCAGCCTGTAACACTCTTCCCCCTGATGTTTGCATGATCAACTCTTTCGTGTTGTTCAGATGTCTGCCTAAATGTTACTTATAAGAGCAGTCCTTCAAGGACCTCTGTTTGCTTCACAATACTTCTCACCACTGGACTTTCTAGACTATGAAGTTGTTGGCTTGTTTACTCTTTGTCTTCCCCTGAATAGCACATCAGTTCCATGGGAGCAGGATCCTTGTGTCTCACACTTACTGCCACGCTCCCTAGAGTAGTGTCTAATGCTCAGATGTTTGCTGAACAGTGCATGGTGCCTGGTGCCAGTAAGATGCAGCCTCTTGATCACATTACTCTCTGTGTGCTCAGGGAACCAAAGGAGGGACTGTCAAAGCTGCTTCAGGATTCAATGCCATGGAAGATGCCCAGAATCTGAGGAAGGCTATGAAAGGGCTCGGTAAGTGCCCCACTGAAGGTGAATCCTCCCTTGTGCATACGTTGCACAGTAAAGATTCACACAGATTTGTAATTTCCATTGGGAGGGGTGGATGGAGGGAGGATCATCCAGGATTCACTAATTTAAGATATACTCAGTCCTCTGGTGAACATGAGTTGTTCTCACTTAAAGAAAATACAACAGAATACCAACTGGATGGGAGAGCATTGATTGTTCACTTTAATATAGAAGTTTGTACTTAATACACTCATTTTGAGTTTCCCCCATTATTTTGAATGATAAAATTATGAATCTATATATAAACTTTAGAAATGTATGTATTTTCTAGTTAGTGTTAGCATGTGTAGCATTGCTATAAGGTTTACAGAGCACTTTCACCAACATCATCTCATTGGACATACACAACAACCCTGTGATGCAGTGAAAGCAGCTATTGCTATTGTTATCTGAGCCCCATTTTACAAATGTGGAAACTAAGACCCAGAGAAATTAAGCAACTGTCACAATGTCTCATTAAATGGAACTGAGCTCATAGTATGCAGAGCTAGTCTCAAATGCAGGCTTGCCAGCTCTAAGTCCACCTTCTTTCCCTTTTATCCCTCTGCCTCCTGCTGCTGTGATAGTACCAGTGTGCAGTTTGTAGGACTTTATGTGAGAAGACTGTGTATATATGACTAGAAGATCTTGTCTTCTAGAACACTATCCTCCAGTTAGCTCCCCGAGGACCACGGCCTCATTTTGGATGAGCACAGTAATGTGAGGTGTTCTACAGCCTGCCCAGGCCTGGTCCCTGCCTCTAGAGCCTTGCCTAAGTTGACTTTTGGCTAGAAAGGTGCCCTTAGTTGACTGCTTTTATTTAGAACCTCCTTGAGATTTGGGTAAAAACACTTGACCCTGAAACCTATTTCCCTAATCTTTCTATCCAAAAAGAGTTCATTTTATTTAATACCAGTGCTACTAACAAGAATAGTGGCAACCATTTATTAAGTTCTGCTGTGTGTCAGGCACAATGCTAGATGCATGGATTACCTCTTTGCATCCTGTTAACAGACTGTTTTCACTGATGAGAAAGCTGAGTTCAGGGAGGTCAGATAACTTCCTCAAGGTCTCAGAACTAGTAAGTGTTGAGTCAGGGCTCCATTCCAGGCCGTCTGACTTCAGAGCTAGAGCTAAGACCACCTATCCTGCCGCCTACCTCTGAGCAGAGCATTGGTTTGATCTATATTTCCTTCTCATTTTCATTCTCATAAATAAAATGGAAACTATACAGAGCCCACCATTTTTTTCAGGTTTATCATAATTCACTAGGATATAGCAAGAATACTGTAATTCAGAAAGCGGACCACATGGTATTTCAACTCTCAAAATAAGAGGTTATGTTTGGGTCACTCTATTGACTGCAGAGGAACTCACTTTTTCATTCCTCTCTCAGTCACAATTACTTGCTCTGCTCTGCTCCCCAGGCACTGATGAAGATGGCATTATTAATGTCCTGGCCTACCGCAACACTGCCCAGCGCCAGGAAATCAGGACGGCTTACAAGAGCACCATTGGCAGGGTAGGCCGCAGTCTCTCCTGCTCTGTTTGGTTGACAAGGGACTTGTTAGGCTACCTGACCTACATGCCTAAAGTAGCCCTGTGGTTGTTTTGTTTGGTTGGTTGGTTTTTATAATGTTTTATTGTGATTTGCGTGAAAGTTTACAAAGCAAATTCATTTTCCATTCAACAGTTCGTATGTATTTTGTTTCATGACATTGGTGATGTAACAGCTCTCTTCCCACTTCCTCCCTATGGTTACCTTTTCCCTGTGTCCTTTTTTCCTACGTTATTCCTGCCCCTGAGTTGTCTCCCTCTGCAAATACTGCCCATCTGATCTTCCATGGAGTGTACCTTTCTGGTGTAATTGCTCACTTTGTAGTCCTGTCTATTGTTTGGCTGAAGATTAAGCCAAGGGAGTGAGTTCAATTCCAGGCATGAAAGGTGACTAGGGGCCATAGTCTAGGGGGTTTCACTAGACTCTATCAGATCAGTAAGCCTGGTCTTTTTTATGATTTTGAGGTTTGATAAATGATTTTCTCCTGAAGTTGCCTTGTATTTTTGAAGAAAGATCCCTTGCCTTATTTAAAGAAGTTTTTGAAAAATAGTTTCAACAGGTTGGCATGTTTCTTCTATAATACTCAGCCAGAGGTGAATTGAGGGGTTCTTTTCTCACAAACTTCAAGGCCTTGGGATCACCTCTTCCAAGTTTTTACAAAGGTTTGGTTGTTATATGGGCTCAACTAGCACCATTTTGAGCAGTGGAAGCACAGGCCGGGCTGAGCTTCCAGCATTGCCTCCTGGACTGTGATGGTTAAGGGTGGGGATAGTGACTTATTTTCAAGTCACTGTGGTGGTGGCTTCTTCTTCCTTGTCTTCTTCTTCCTCTAATAGACTTTATTTTTGAGAGAATTGTTAGCTTCTCATATGCGCTTTCCCCCACGTCATTTCTCTTACTAACATCTTACATTAGTTTCCCTTGCGTCTCTCCACTTGCTTCTGCTGTAATAGATATTGCTATGACAGTACTGACATACAGTATATGGGATTGATGAACTAACATTAATACATTATTGTTAACTAAAGTCCATACTTTGCATTGGGGTTCATTCTTTGTATTATCCAGTTCTTTGGGTTTTGACAAATGCTTAATGTCATATAGCCTCCATTACAATAACATACTGACCTAAAAAATGCCCTGAGTTCCCTGTTCATCCCTCCCACACACTCCCTGCATCCCTGGAAACCACTGATCTTTTCACTATCTCTATAGCTTTGCACAGGAGCTCTGGTGGTATAGTGCCTAAGGCATTTGCCTGCTCACAGAAGGCTTGCAGTTCAAACCCACCAGCCACTTCCTGGAAGGAAGGTTGGGCAATCTACTTCTGTAGTGATATCGCCTCAGAAACCCAAGGAGGGTTGCTATGAGTCGGATCTAACTCCATTGCAGTGGTTGTGTTTTTGTGTATAGCTTTGCACTATGCCTCCTTTCTGGACCACTCACCAAACTGACTAAAACATTGAAATCCAGTTATAAACAGGCTCTTAGGCTAATTAGGGTCCATCTTTTCCACAGAAACCCATTTTTAGTATATATTCCTTTGATGATTCTCAACTGAGGTACCAAACCAAACCAAACCCACTGCTGTGGAGTCAGAGCCGACTCACAGCAACTCCTCCTTGGGTTTCCGAGGCAGTATCACTACGGAAGTAGATTGCCCAACCTTCCTTCCAAGCAGTAGCTGGTAGATTTGAACCACCAGCCTTCTGGTTAGCAGTCACATGCCTTAGGCAATGCGCCACCAGAGCTCTTCAACTGAGGTACACCCCTTCAAATTCTAGACTAGAGTTTTATGTGTTTTGATACATGTGTGTATTTAGTAATTTATGCATTCAGAGGTTTGAATGCCTGACCTCTCAGGACCCCCTCGTAGTCTCCATAGTAAAAGACTCATTTCCCAGTGTCACTTTACCCAATCTTTCCATATTACTGACAGCCCATCTGTGTGATTAGTGAGAACGTTTTTGTTGGGGGAAATGTTATTAGTGTCTCCCAGTCTCATCTTAAGACTGCGCTCTCTCCCTGTGCAAGTTTATAAGACTATAAACTTGATATTAACTGCTTCTGTCCTCGAGACACTTTATGGCCAGTCAGACCTTTAGCCCCCTCTCAAAGATTGGCATTGAACTGCTGGGTAGGGCAGATTTGGCTCAGCAGTTTCCCGGAGTTGTTGTTGTTAGCTTTCATCAAGGCCCACATGTGTGCAGAGTAGACCTGCTCCATAGGGTTTTCAAGGCTGTGAACTTTTGGAAGCAGATCACCAGGCCTGTCCTCTGAAGTGTCTCTTGGTGGGTTCAGGCCACCAGCCTTTCAGTTAATAGTTGAGTGCTTAACCATTAGTGCCACCTAGGGAAATCTACATGTAAATCTTCACTGTACACCCCAGTACAGAGGGAGATTTCCTCCCAGCAGAATTGCTACCTGTATCTTCTGGGCATAATATACTCTTCTCCATCCCCAAAGAAATTTAATGAACTCAAATGTATTATTTTGCCACACACATTTGAGGACTAATACTCAGCTCCAGTATTAAGCTAATCTGATGGCAATTTGTAACACAGCCAGCAATGACAAATTGACTGAGCACTAATTTGTTTATTCATTCAATCATTCATTCATTATGTATAGATGTAACATCAAGATGTAAAATAGACTTAACAACAGTGTAATAGAATCAGGTTTGTGAGAATCAGAGATCTGCATTTGAACTATCAATTTGACTTATTAGTTGGTGGTTTTTACTGGGTTCTTAACTCTCTAGCCTGTAAACTGAAGATAATATTATCAGATTTACACAAGCATACCTCAGAGATACTGCAGGTTCGTTTCCAGACCACCACAATAAAAAAATATCACAATAAAGTGAGGTACACAAATTTATTGGTGTCCCAGTACATATTAAAGTTATGTTGACACTGTAGTGTAGTCTTTTAAGTGTGCAATAGCAATATGAAAAAGTTTGAAATATTGTAGGAATTACCAAAATGTCACACAGAGACACAACATGAGCACATGATATTGGAAAAATAAGCCAATATACTTGGCTTGAGCAGACTTGCCACAAACTTTCCATTTTTATCATGCAGTATCTGCAAAACACAGTAAAGTGAAGCTCAGTAAAACAAGGTAAGCCTATAATGTTATTATGAAAAGTAGGAATAATAATTGCAAAATACTGGCACAGGGCCTAGAACATGGTAGGTGTTCAATAAAGGAGAACTGTTAACATTGGAGTTAACAGTTTGCAGAGCACCTGGGCCAGCCGGTAGGACAGGCTGTGAATGAGAAAGCTAATGATATAAATGTCCTAGTAGAGGCAATAGTGAAATTTAAAATGTTATGAGATACAGGCTAACATAGATAAGAACTGGCCCATTTAAAGAATGGCTGGTCTTCCGATGGCAGTCCAATTGTATGGTTCTAGAAGCAAATATCAATAAACGTCTTTAGAATATGGTTTTTCATTAAGTAATTACATTTATTTTTAAGAATCGAGCCTTAAGAAATAAGATTATAATGATTATGACTAAATAAATGCCTTATATATGTAACAGTAGAAAAATAAAAATAGGATACCATCTTAGCTAGTGCTGCTATAACACAAATACCACAAGTGGGTGGCTTTAAAGAACATAAATTTATTTTCTCATAGTTCTGGAGGCTAAAAGTCCAAATCACAGTCATGGCTGTACCATTTCCTTCCCAAGTATTCCTTAGTTCATTGGCAATCCTCACATGATTACCCTTGTATCTAAACTGTACTTTTTGATGCATGGAAATCATTAGTCCAAGGGACTAGTGGACCAAGGGAACCTTAACGTACACAATCCTGAGACCGGAAGAACTAGGTGGGGCCCAGCTACCATTGCCAACCACTTGGAAAAGAATCAAAATTAGAGATCCTGCATACAGTGGGAGAAAAAATGTAGAAAAGCACTCAAAATCATGGAAAAAAAAAAAAAAGTCCAGGCTTACTGGTCTAATGGAGACTGGTCGAGCCCCCGAGACTATGGCCCTGGGTCACCCTTCAAGCCTGAAATTGAACTCACTCCCTTGGCTCAACTTCCAGCCAAATAATAGGACTATCAGGTGACCACTTACTCCAGGGAGGTGCACTTCTTGGAACAATCAAGTATGGGAGATCAAAAGTGCAGCACTTGTGCAGGGATAAGGCTTAGAAGACAGGAATACATAGGAAAGAAGGACACAGGGAAAAGATAACCACAGGGAGGAAGTGGGAAGAGAACTGTTACATTGTGGGGATTGCAGTCGATGTCATGAAACAAAATGTGTATGAACTGTTGAATTGTAGACTAATTTGCTTGGTAAATTTTCAC